GGAGACCGTCGACTCGACGACTTGGCCTTGGTCCGGTCTCGCCTCGTCGCCTCTCTCTTCCCCTTGGGCCGCCTTTTCGCATCCTCCCCTCCTCGCCTCACAAATACAGTCACACGACGGCGACGACGACGACGACGACGACTTGATCCTATTCTATCCTCCTCATCCCATCCCATCATCACCACCACCACCACCCTCCTCCTCCTCAGCGCGCACGCCTCCCCTCGTCCTGTCTATATCCACGCCCTCACGACCTTACTCTTTCAATCACGAACGCCATCCTGTCCCATATCCCCCCCCCCGCATCGCTAACGATTTGGACTTGATCCACCTTCCGCCCTCCCCCTTGGCTCGTTTGCTTGCTCACTTCATTCACGGACGCGACGACGGACGCACGGACGCACGGACAAGACTCGACACACGCGGTACTCGGATGGAAGGGAAGGATGGCATTACGGAGCCAGTGGGGCGGGGACAGGATGGGAGACGAGCGGGGACAGACGCGATCGGGGAGAAGACCTGGTACTGACGGCACTAGGCGCAGGCAGCCCCTTCACGGCGACGGCGGGACGACGCACGCGCGCGCAGCACGCCTAGTACTCGAGCTCCTCCTCGCCGGCCTCGACCGAGTCGAGACCGACCTCCTCGTAGTCCTTCTCGAGGGCGGCAAGGTCCTCGCGGGCCTCGGAGAACTCGCCCTCCTCCATGCCCTCGCCGACGTACCAGTGCACAAAGGCGCGCTTCGAGTAGAGCAGGTCAAACTTGTGGTCGAGGCGCGACCAGGCCGAGGCGATGGCCGTCGTGTTGGCGAGCATGCAGAGCGAGCGCGACACCTTGGCCAGGTCGCCGCCGGGGATGTCGGCGGGGGGCTCGTTGCAGATGCCGATCTTGAAGCCCGTGGGGCACCAGTCGACAAACTGGATGGTGCGCTTCGTCTTGATGGTGCCGATGGCGGTGTTGGTGTCCTTGTGGACGACGTCGCCGCGGTAGAGGAGGCAGCAGGCCATGAACTTGCCGTCGCGCGGGTCGCACTTGACCATCTGGTTGCCCTTCTCGAACGTCGAGAGCGTCATCTCGGCGACGCTGTTCTGCTCGTGGCCCGCCTTGGCGGCCGACAGGATGGGGGCGTAGGTGGCGAGGGGGAAGTGGATGCGCGGGAAGGGGACCAGGTTGGTCTGGAACTCGTTGAGGTCGACGTTGAGCGATCCGTCGAAGCGGAGCGAGGCCGTGATCGACGACACGACCTGGGCGATGAGGCGGTTGAGGTTGGTGAAGCCGGGCGAGGCGATGCCGAGCTTGGTGCGGCAGATGTCGTAGATGGCCTCGTTGTCGACCATGAACGAGCAGTCCGAGTTCTCGAGGGTGGTGTGGGTGGTGAGGACCGAGTTGTAGGGCTCGACGACCGACGAGCTCATCTTGGGCGAGGGGTAGACGGAGAACTCGAGCTTGGCCTTTTTGCCGTAGTCCTGGGCGAGGCGCTCGAGGAGGAGCGAGCCAAAGCCGGAGCCGGTACCACCGCCAAACGAGTGGAAGACAAAGAAGCCCTGGAGGCCCGAGCAGGCGTCGGCGAGCTTGCGGACGCGGTCGAGGGTCTGGTCGATGAGCTCCTTGCCGACGGTGTAGTGACCGCGGGCGTAGTTGTTGGCGGCGTCCTCCTTGCCCGTGACGAGCGACTCGGGGTGGAAGAGGTTGCGGAAGGTGCCGGTGCGGACCTCGTCGACGACGTTGGGCTCGAGGTCGACGTAGATGGAGCGGGGCACGTACTTGCCGCTGCCGGTCTCGGAGAAGAAGGTGGAGAAACCGTCGTCGTTCTCCGAGGGGCTGCCCTCGAGGATGCGGCCGTCGGGGCTCAGGCCGTGCTCGGCCAGGTAGAGCTCCCAGCAGGCATTGCCGATCTGGATACCGGCCTGGCCGACGTGGAGAGAGAGGACCTCACGCATTGTAGGAGGAGGAGGTTGGTGGTGGTGGCGGTGTCGGGCTGTTGGGCTGCGGGTAAGGACGGGAGAGGGGGAAGGGGAAAGGGGAAAGAGAAGCATACAGAGGTGGCAGGTGTGAGCGGACAGGCGGGTTGGACGGCGAGCGGGGCGCAACGCGAAAAGGAGGGATGGCACCGGGCGGTCGGCCGACGACGTTGTGTGGTACTCACGATGAAGGTGTAGGGAAGGGTCAGTGGCGATCGACAAAGGTGCGCTCCAAAGCAACGTAGAGCGAAGGGGGGTTGATCGGTGGATGGATGGTGGAAGGGAGAGAGGAGGGGGCGAGGGCGACGGACGGACGGACGAGCTGGGGGGGCTGGGGGTTGGGGGCGGGCTTCGCGCGCCTGGTCTTGGTTGGTTGGCTCTGGCCCCCCGTTTGCTGGCCCAGCCTAGGCCGAGCCTGGCTCGACTGGTCGCCTGTTTGGCTGAGGCTGGCTGGCTGGCAGGCTGGCTGGCTGGCTGGCTGGCAGGCAGGCTGGCTGGCAGGCTGGCTAGGATTCTCGCCTGCCCAGACTGGTCTGGTGCCTGCGAGTCGGGCAGGGCCACCGACGCACGCACGCACGCACGCGCGTGTTGCTCTCTGCTGCCAGCCTGCCCTCTGTGGCCCCGCCTGTTTTTGGAATTTGCGTCCGTCTGGCCGCTCAAACCAACACACGGCACCGCGGCTGGGCCGCCAGCCACTGGCCAGGCCTGCCATGCCAGGCCAGTCGATCGCCTGTCTGGCGCGCTCGTCTGCCCTGCCCTGCCCTGCCTGCTGGCTGGCCCGCGCGTCGTCTGCGTTGCTGCCGTCCGATAAAACCTGCCCGCAGGCCACGGCGCGCTTGTTTGCCTGCCAGCCTCGAGTCGAGCTGCGGCTCCGAGATGGCAGCATGCATCCTTCTTTCTGCTGCCTGTCTTCTCCACATCTTGGCCTTGTCGACGGCGACGAGGGCGGGATGCCACCGAGAATCAACAAGTGGTCGGACCGCCTTCCGGCTTGGGCGAGGCTCGATTGCACGCTGCTGGCTGATGCGCTTTCGTACCGTCGACGCTCCTGGCCAAATCAACCTGCTCAGCATACTCTCTCATTATTGCTGTGGCTGCCACCTCGACGCTCGCGTGTTGAATGCCATCGTTGTCGCTGGCTGGCTGGCTGCCTGGCTGCCTGGGTGATGCCGAGTAGCCGGGGAGCGCTGAGGCCGTGGGCCGAGTCAGGCGTAGGCAGGCGCGGGTGTGGCCCACGGGCCTTTTTGCAATTTTGCCGCTCGGATTGGACCGACGCCAGCAGCAAGCAGCCACGGACGAGGGAGGGGCCAGCCAGGCCAACGACGGGCTGCGGGCAGCGGGCAAGGCGGCGGCGGCGGCCTCTTGGTCTGTGGCCCAGGCAACGTTGGCCCCCGCTCCCTCTGCCTCTGATCTGTGGCCCGCCCAGCCTGGCCGACAGACGACACCAACATCGCCTCGTCTCTTGTCGCCTCTCTCTCTCTCTGGCCAATCAACCACCCTCTCTCCACAGCAGCATCGCAAACCCTACACAGCTCACTACTCTAGACGCTCAGTCGCGCACCCCCACCCCACCGCCGCTCATCAACACGCCGAGCGCGCGCGCCACCACGCACCATCTCGCACCCCATCCTCGCCACTACTCTGCATCGCCGCCTCTTGCCTTTGCTGCCCTCTGCCCTGCTGAAACGCATATCCGCACCCTACCACACCCGCCGTCCCGCTCTGCCTCGCACTCGTCACCAGCTCGCCCTCTCTCGCCACCCTCTCGCCCTGCTCCCTCCCCTAGACGCTCGCACGCTACTCGCTCGCAACCTATCAAGTCCGCTTTCAGCCTCGGCCCTCCCCCCTCGCATAACGAGCTGGGTTCGCTCGCTCCCTCTATTCCCCCTCTCGCGCAACATTCAGCCCGTTTAGATGTCTTCCGGCGACCGCTCCACGCTCAGCATCACAGCCAAGCCCCCAACTGCGCACCCTCTCGAATCCTCTCCCGTCTTAGAACCCCACCGTCCCGGCCATCATGAGTGCGTCTACCGCGCATAGCTCCAGTAGCGGCAGTGGCATCGGCGTCCACGCTGGCGACGCCCCTGCACCACCACCTCCGCCGCCACGTCAACAACCACCAGGCGTCGCCTCGGCCTCATCACCATCAAAGCAAACCTCGGCACCCTCGCCACCGCCGCCCAACAAGGCTATGCCAGCCGACCAAGACCCTCCTTCGCGCCTCGGCTCCAGCTTCTGGTCATCCTGGATTTCTCCCTCTTCCTCTTCCGCCGTCGCCGCCTCCTCAGCCATGGAGAAGCGCCACAGGCCCCGCCGCCCCACCTTTGAAGAGTTTCGCGCACAGGAGCCGCCGCAGGCTCGCCTCATCCGCCTTCGCGGCCTCTTTGACACCTTGCTCGACGAGGACGACGAGTCGGCCCTCGCTGGCGGCAGGGCTCGCGAGGAATGGATGAAGTCGGCTCGCCGCGCTCGCTACGGCGCAGGCGGAAGCCTCGCTCGCGGCGCCCTCGCCCCCTCCGACATCCGCAACTCGACGGTCGGATTCGAGGACCTGCGTCAGCCTGAAAAGGCAGCCGCCATCTCCGAGGCCGGAAGCTCAAAGGGCCAGCTGCTGCCGCCGCCACCACCGCCACCGCGCCAGTCGTACGCCAACGAGCTGCTCGCCCAGTGCCGCAAGTGCAGGGAAGAGGTCGAGAAGCAGCGGTCAAAACATCAGGACGACGGCAGCGCGGGAAACGGAAGCGGAGGCGAGGGATGGTCATGGGGCCTCGGCGGCTGGCTGGGTGGGGAGAAGGAGGAACCTGCGTCGACCGCGGAAACCGCCAAGGCGACGGCCTCCGCCGCTCTCACCAAGGTCAAGAGCGCGCTGACAGGCGGGACGAGTGCAGCGGACAAGGAGCCAGCCTCGACCGCGAAAGCTTCGAGCGTCGACAGCTCATCGTCGATCCGCTCGTCGATATCCTCGCTCTTCGGTTCGGCGTCCGCCTCGTCCTCGTCCTCGTCATCGACGGAAGAGCCTTCGCCGCCCGCTGACCTGGAGCACGAAGCGGGCTGGACCGGCTCCGGAGTGTGGGGCCTCTCGGCCGTCGGCCACAAGAAGCGCGAGGCGGATCGGAAACGCGACGAGCAGATCCGCAAGGGAAGGCCCGTCGAGGACGACGGCGGCGCTCGGCAGCGTCAGATCGAGTGGGAGGGTTTCCTGGCCTACGCAGAGCAAAAGGAACGAGGTGAGTGTAGGACGCTGTTGCCGCGCCGGACTACTCGCAGCCTCGCTGCGGCCTCCTCGACGAGCGCGCTGACTCGTCTTGGCTTTCCCTTTGCCTTGGCATCATAGAACTCTACAACATCTTTTCGGAGCTCGACAAAAACGGCGACATGAAGCTCGACATTGGCGAGATCCGGACGGCGCTCGATCGCGCAGGCATCGACTTGCCGCAGCTTTCGCTCGACGACTTCATCGCCAGCCTCACCTGCTCGCGCAACTCGCCCCGGAAACCCAACGAGAAGCCCTACGTCACGTTTCCAGAGTTCCGCGACTATCTGCTTCTGCTGCCGCGGAAACCTTCGGTACCGGAGGTGAGAGCGAGCGACCGGGCCAAGGATCTTATGCACCCGCCCCGGCAACCAGGTGCAGACCCGTGCTGACGCGACCATGCCTCCTGCCATGACCACCTGCCTTTCCGACGCATCCCGCAGATCTTTCGGTTCTACCAGGTCCGCAAAGCTTTCGGCCTCTTTGGCATGGGCGGAATCTTTGCCGAGCTCGGCGCTGGCTGGGGCAAGACTGAGCGCGGCGCCTCTGCCGTAAACGCCGACGGCGACGTCAGTCTGGCCGGAGAAGAGATCAAGAAGCCGAGCCCGTCAGAAAAGGAGGCGAAGAAGGCCGAAAAGCGGCAGGGTGCGGCGGCGGCGGCGGCGGCGGCTGCCGCTGCTGCTGCCACCGCAGCATCGACGGATCCCAACAGCAGCGACGGCACTGCCGCAGCTACCGGCGATGGCAACACCGACAAGACGTCTCCGCCCGGCGCTGCAGTTGTCGATGACAAGGCTCGCGCCGCCGCCGCCCAAGCCGCCCAAGCCGCTGTCGCCGAGGCCGACGAAGACGAAGATGAGGAGGATCACGACATGATCCATGGCTCTGTCGCCGTCAAATTCCTGGTAGCCGGTGGCATTGCCGGTGCCGTGTCGAGGACCGCCACTGCGCCGTTTGATCGTCTCAAGATCTACCTGATGACCGTGTCGCGATCCTCGCCCGCCACCGAGGCGTCCAAGCAGGTGATCAAGGGCCAGGCGGGCGCCGCCGAGGGGTCGGCCAAGGCCGCAGGGCAGGGCCTGGGCCTCCTCCGTCAGGCCTTTATCCAGCTCTACCACGACGGAGGCGGCATGAAGGCCTTCTGGACCGGCAACGGCCTCAACTGCGTCAAGATCTTTCCAGTGAGTCTCGGCGAGCGCTGCCGTCATGTTGTTGAAGCGCGGAGAGTCGTGCTGATGCGTGATCCTCCTGGTCTGACCGCCGTCCGTGTCCATCTCCGCCCCTGCAGGAATCGGCGATCAAGTTTCTCAGCTACGAGACGTCGAAGCGGGCCTTTGCCAAGTACGTCGACCACGTTTCGGACTCGCGCGACATCTCCGGCAGTTCGCGCTTCCTGTCGGGTGGCATCGGCGGTATCACGAGCCAGCTCGCCATCTACCCCATTGAGACGCTCAAGACGCGGCTGATGTCGTCGCAGGGGAGCGGCACCACGCTGCGAGGCAATGCCCTGCTGATCAAGACGGCCAAGGACATGTGGGCTACGGGGCCCGCCCGCACCTACTACCGTGGCCTCACTGCCGGCCTGATTGGCGTGTTTCCCTATTCGGCCATCGACATGTCGACCTTTGAAGGCATCAAGCTCTTCTACATCAAGTACACGGGCAAGGAGGAGCCGGGCGTGCTGGCGCTGCTCAGCTTCGGCAGCGTCAGCGGCAGCGTCGGTGCCACCACCGTCTATCCGCTCAAGTGAGTAGTCTCCCTCACCCCTCGGGGCCACATCTCGGCCCTCTCCCTTCTTCTCGCAGCTCAGCCTGATGGCGACGACTGATTTGCCATCCTGCCGCTACTCTTCCGCAACGCAGCCTGGTACGGATCCGCCTCCAAGCGTCGGGGACACCCGCCCATCCGACCGTGTACAAGGGGTTCATGGACGCGGTCCGCAAAACGTACGCCAACGAGGGCTTTGTCGGCTTCTACCGCGGTCTCGTGCCCACCCTGGCCAAGGTCGTCCCTGCTGGTGAGTCGAGGCGCGTCGCCGCCAGCTGGCAGACCACGAGCACGCGCACGCACGCACCTTCTCTGACCCCTCGATCCACCGCCTGCTCCTTTCTCGCCTCACCTGCCAACCCCCGGCCCGCCGATCCTACAGTCTCGATCAGCTACGTCGTCTACGAGCAGAGCAAGCGACGCCTCGGCGTGCAGTGAACGTCGTCCTGGACCGGGCCCAGCCCGGCTGTCTCGCTCCTGCACGTAGCGAGCACCGCAACCACCACCACCGCAGGCATCGCCTCTTCCGCAACGGCGCACGGGCGGCACCGGACAGAGACACATCGGAGGGGGGAAAGCAGGAACAGAGGGGGCTGTAGCATGATTCGCATTCCTCGTCGTTGTCGTCGTCGTCGTCGTCGTCGTTGGCGGCGGCGGTGGCTGGGCTGTTCCAGCCATTTCAGGTAGAAAGAGACGCCAGACGGCGCCTGGCCGCAACACCAGCCATCCCAACCATTCCCTACCGTCCGCTCCTTGGCCTTGCATCCGCCGCTGTGCCGACTGCCCCCGAGACCCCTCTCACTCGAGACCGAGGCTCCTCCTGGCCTCGTCGAGCCTCGGACGCACCCACGAGCTTCCGCTCATCTCGATGGCCTCCTCGACGGCCTTCTGGCCCTGCTTGAGCAGCTCGCCGCGCTCCGTCTCGAGCCAGGTGGCCAGGCGCAGACCCTCGACCTCGGCCTCGGTGCCGCGAACCCCGACGTCGGCGGTGACGCACCGCGTCAGGACAAAGCGCAGCAGCTCGGGCGCCGACCTGGCGAACCGGTAGACGAGCCGCGCAGGCGTAGGCGGCGACGGTACGGCCGTTGTCGCTGGCGCCGTCGTCGCCGATGGCGTCGTCTTGGCGGGCTCGTTGTGGGCCGCGCCGTTCGAGGTTGTACACACTGACGAGGCGACGGTGCTGCAGTGCGACGACGACGACGACGACGTCGCTGCGGTCGAGGCGTCGTTTTGCGACGAAGACGCCGTCGAGGCCGTCGAGGCCGCGTCGTAGCTTCCTTCGCGGTCGAGCCTCGTCGTCGCCGGGTCGACCGACGACGAGAGCGGCGGCGAGTGAGCGCTCACTGAAGCACTGCTGCTACCGGCCTCGACGTCGCCCTCGCCTTCGACCTCGCCCACATCGGCGTCCTCAGCAGCATCGGCAAAGATGGGCTCGAGGTCAAGATCGTAGGCCGACGCGGGCGCCGCCTCGGAGCTCGCCTCGCCGGCCGCTGCTGCTGCTGCCGCCGCCGCGCGCGGAGTGACGAGTCCCGAGACGAAGCCGAGGAAGCGCCTCTGGCCGTCGCCGAGCAGCATCTCGCGGATGGCGAGGTCCTCGATGCCGTCGCGCAGCGCAAAGGCGCGGATCAGGTTGCAGCCGAGCGCCCACAGGTCGCCCGAGGGTCCCATCCGGCGCCCGTAGGGGCCCGGCGACGCCTCGGGCGGGATCCAGTCGTAGCTGACGAGCTGCACCGTGCCGTCGCCGCCCGGGATGCCGCGGTAGGGGTTGGCGTTTTCGTAGTCGATGACGACGAGGCGTCCGGCCTCGTCAAACATGAGGTTCTCGAGCTTGACGTCGCCGTGCATCCAGCCCGCGGCGTGGAAGCGCGCCAGGGTGCGGATGGCCTGGACAAAGACGAGGGCCAGGACCGGGTAGAGCTCCACCTCGTCGCACCCGGCAATGACGAAAAACGCCTCTTCCGGGTAGTCTTCCTCGAGCCGCACGTACCGGTCGTCTTCCGTCTTGAGCAGCTTGGCCACGGCGCCCGTCCGCGTCGGGTTGAGCGTCTCGGCCTTTTGCACTTCGTCGAGAATGTCTTCGAGGTACGTCTCGCGCAGCTCCTGCGCCAGCTGGCGCGTCGCCGGCCCAATGGCGGGGTCGGCGGCGCGCAGCTTGGCCTCGACGCTCTTGATCTCCATGGCGGCGTAGAAGCGGCCCTGGCCGTCCATGGCCCACCGCCGCAGCTTGGCCGCCGACGACACGCGGTTGTCGGGCGTGGTGATGAGGTAGACCTGCGCCTTGGACGCGTGGTAGCCCGCGTCGCCCTCTTCTTCGTCGGCGCACACGGCCTCGCCATCGACGGCAGCGGCGGCGGCGGAGGCGGCGGCGGCAGAAGTGCTGCCATCCGCTTCGCCCTGGTACATCGAGCTCCGCCTCGACGACGACGACGACGACGAGCCGCCGTTGCTGGGCCCGTCGGCCGACTGCGGACGGCGATGGGTGCGCATGAAGAGGGCCCCCTCGTCGTCGACGCTCGAGCTGCTCGAGTTGCGCCGCGAGCTTGACGACGTCCGCCGGCCCCACGGCTGCGTCACGGGCTTCTCCGGGTTGCTTAGGTCGGCGTCCTCGAACGGAGCCTGGCGCTGCGGGTCCTCGCAGCTAAACAGCCTCACGCTGAGGCCGTCGGTGACGGCTCCTTCGCGGTGCGGCCCGCTCTTGTCGTACAGCGTGCCCTCGACATGCTCCGGCCGCCGCCTACGTGCCAGCTTGAGGGGTGGCGCCCGCGGGGAAGCGGTGCGCCGGATCGGCGATGTCGGCAGCGGAGATGACGGCGAGGGGGCGTCGGCGCGGGATGCCGTCACCAGGGATCGGAGGTCGGTGGCGCTCATGGGTCCCTTGCCGTCGAGTGCGGCGTCGCTCAGCGTCGTGCGGAGGACATCGACGGCCCGGAGGTCGTCGTCGAACGGGCTGGCGTTGTCGTCTACTGCCGAGTCGTCCGCGTCGAGCAGGGCCAGATCGGGCGTTGAGGCGGCCGCCGCCGCCGCTGCCTCCTCGAGGTTGGAGCGGAGGCGTCGCAGCGACGGTCGCGCCGCCTCGCCGAGGTCGAGGGTGCCGTGGGCCTGCTCCTTGACCTTTTTCTTGGACAGCTCGCGTTCGCGCTCGCGCTCGGCCCTGTCAGCCCTCTTGGCCGCCCGCTCCTCACGCTTCCTGTCGTGCTGCTCGCTGCGCTTCGAGGCGGGCTTGTCGGCCACGACAGCCACCGACGAGGGCGAGCCGCTGGGCGGCGGACGGATCTGGGCCAGGGGCCGGAGGGCGGGGTGCGCGTCGCCGCCCGAAGACGACGATTGCGAAAGCCGCCGCGGCGTGTGGAGACCGATGACGGTCTCGTGGCGCAGGAAGGCCGCCTCGGAGCCGTGCGACGAAAAGCGGCGGGCCCTCGACGCACCATTGCCGGGCATGCCGTCGATGGGCGTCATGGGAGGGCTCATCATGAGGGCCTCGGATGGCCGACGGCTGCGTCTCCCGCCATGGCTGTGGCGCGACGACCGGGAGCGGCTGGAGCGCCCGCTAAAGGCCGAGGCGGCGTCGTCGCTGTGGAGGGCGTCGTCGTCGTAATCGATGTCGTCGTCGGTGTCGGACATGGACGAGAGGGCGCCGCGGCTGCCGCGCTTTCCGCTGCGGCTGCTGACGGCGCTGGCAATCCTGGCCCAGGCGAGGCCGAGGCCCATGCGGTCGCGGTCGTAGCGCCGCCACCGCTCGTGGTCCTTGCCGAGGAAAAACGTGGCAGCCTTTGGGGCATTGAAGCCAGGCCTGCCCGATGGGCGGATGGTGATGGGAGCGCGGAGGCCGTCAAAGGGTGTGGATCCGGCCTCGAAAGCGTCGGCGCCCGCGGCGGCGGCGGTCTTGGCACTGTAGGGCTGGGGCGGGTAGTGTTGCTGAAGCAAACGGGGCTCGTGCATGGTCTGGGCGTTGCGCAGCGTGCGAGGTCGGTTCGGCGGTGCCTGCTTTGTTGGCGAGACGGCGGCGGGGTCGAGGTAGTCGTCGAGGGCGTGTGAATGGTGCGGCTGGCTGCCCGAGGCCCTCCGTGGGTCAAAGGGGGGTATGTCCTGCAGCGTCATGGTGGCGGCGGGCGTGGTGGCGGATCGAAAAGAGATGCGATCGAGGGGTGAGAGGAAGCGATGCTGCTGTTCTTAAAGGCTTGGGAGGTATGCGCAGTAGCCAGCTGCTAGGTTCCGGAGGGTCGGGGGGCGATTGAGGGTTTGGCACGTGGTCGGATCGTCGAGATGGATTGGGGTGTGCGGCTGTGGCGAGATGGACCCAACCTGTCGGCGGGGGAATGGTGGGCCGACGATTAGACGATGGAAGGCGCGTGTTTCGACAGAAGCTCGGTCGAGGCGTGGTTGGTATCGATGGGGTTCGAGAGCCTCGTTTGGAAAGAGGGAAGCGGCCGAACTTGGAGCCGGAGGAATGGGTGTGGGTGGACCTCGCCAGGGAGAATGCGGTCCCGATTTGGGAGGAGTGCAGAGGGGCCAGCTAGGGCTAGCGGCGATGGTAATGGCGGTGGTGGTGGGTCGTCGAGGTGGATCCAGCCAGCCAGCGAGATGGTTGGGAGCAAGAAGCGAGGCGAAGTCCAGAGAAGGCAAAGAAGCCCGGTCTAGCCTGGTTGGCGTACTGTACAGTACCTCGAGCGGCGAGCCAGGCGGCTGAGGGCGTGGGTGCGTGTGGTCTGCACGGAGCTGCACGCTCGAGAGCGCAGCGTACGTCGTGTGGAGCGCCCGGCTGGCGACTTTTCGGCGTCCTTCGATGCCGGCCTGAGGTTTGGCTGGCGGGCCTTGCTTGGCTTTTGTTGCCAATTTGCTGCAGAGACCCCCGCGTTTTTGGGCCTGCAGCAGCGATGCGTCGAGATGCCGGGCCGAGACGATGGCGCTCAATCGGTATCCGCCTGCAGCCTGCCTTCTTGCTTGTCGCTTTCCTTTTCGGCCAGACGGCCTCGACTTTTTCGACCTTGCGAGGATCGCCGTCGTCGGGTGGCAATCTCCGGGTCTTTCAGAGGGCAGTCTTCGACCAGCTCTTTTTCGATAAGGTCGACGGCGATGGAGGGGGCCGATCGATGCAGCGTGGTGGGCGAGGTGAGGGGCGCAGATGCAACAACAGGGCTAGCCAAGAGGGGTCAATGGCGCGTGTCCCGCAGTCGTCGTCGTCGTCGTCGTCGTTGTCGCGGGGAGGCGGTAGTGGTCGTGGTCGTGGTCGGAAGACAACCAGGGCGGCGAAGGGCGCTCCTTGGTTCCCACTCGTCTCGTCTCGTCTCGTCTCGTCTCGTCTCGTCTCGTCTCATCTGCTGTCCTCACCTTCTTCGACGACGACATACACAAAGGGCGAGGCAGCATCAGAGACAAAGACCTAGAGTAGTGGAGTCAGTTAGCTCGGTAAAACAACCCCAAGCAAGCACCGCGGGTGAGCGGGCGTACGTAGGCTAGGCCGGTACATATCGTCACCCACGCGCGTTAGGTCGCTGCCAGGCGGCAAGGCAAATCAACGCGGTCGTGGCCACTTTGGCGAACAGAGCCCTGTTTCTGGCGAGCGAGGGTCGCTTCTCTAGGCCGGCGCAAATTGAGTCATGGGCCAAGCCAGGCCGGGCACGGTACGGTTGCGACGACGACAACGAGCGAGCAAAGATCGAGCGGGGCTCTAGAGGAGACAGGCAGGCCTGGGCAAGCAAGCAGCAGTCATCAGATGAAAACCCTCGCTCGCCCGCAGCGGGCGAGCGAGGGCGATGGCCGTAGCGCGCGGTGAGTGAGCATCAAACGTTGCCAGCAGGCGGGCAGGTGGACAGGCCGGCTTGCTGGCAGCGCCTTTCGTGGGTCTCACACCGATCCGACCCGCCTGGCTGGGCCTCTGAGGGCTGCGCCGTTCATCGCCTCGCTCGATCCGATGAGCCAGCGTACGCGCGTGATGCCGTGTGTGCGTGGCTTGCTCTTGGTCCAAAGCCGTGAGAGAGCCAAGAAGGCCGGCGTCGGTGACGGAACGACCGACCGAGAAGCGGGGGCGGCGTGTCGAGGCAGAGAGATACGGGGCCAGATCGAGGGTACGCCTTGGGGGATCCAGGCTCCGACCCCTCGACAGTCCGACGCAGCCGAGCAAATCGTGCCAAGCGCGCAAAGGCCCACAGCCGGCCTGGGCGGTTCCATGCAAGCGCACGCTGCCCATCGGGAACACGTACGTCTGCCTGCCCGCATCGTCGGGTAACCCGCTCGACCCTGCCGCCCCGATTCAGTCTGAAAAGAGTCAAATTCAACAAGCCCGATTGGGGCTTCCTTCGAGCACAGCCCGCTCCCCGACCGGGCGAGGGCAACGGCTCCCCCCGACAGGCATTCAGCCCTTGCGTCAAGGCTTCAACAGCTGGCTTCAACAGCTGGCTTTGAGCAGCAAGGCTTCAGCAGCAAGGCTTTAGCAGCAAGGCTTGAGCAACAAGGCATCAGCAACAAGGCATCAGCAACAAGGCAACAGCCAAGACCGAAAGCCATTCTCCGGTCCCTCCATCATTCATCATACTCTGCATCCGTCTATCTCCCTCGCCGTGCTCGACACGAACCGGGTCCGATGTTGAAACATCTTCATTGCAAGGTAATGGAAGCAAGACCGACCTGGACGACACGGCGACCGGTGTCGCATACGGCGTGCATACGATGGGGCGGTGAACGAGGGGTAAAGACAATCGAGTTACAGAATGAGCATCAAATCGGCAAAGGGGATGGGGACATGGGGTCGGGGGGAAAGCCAGAACGACGACAGCGGGGGATCTGGTATAGTATCGCCGTCTGGGCAGGATAGGATAGGAGAGGGGACGGGGAGATGAGGGGCGAGAGGGCGATAAGGGTCGTGGCGTTGGGGGGGACATACGTTCCATGATACAGGGCGGTAGAGCCACAGGACGAGGGTGGTAAGCGGCGGGACCGGGTGGACGGAGGTAGGATGAGGGCGAAGAGGGACATGGGGCTAGGACGAGGACGAGGACGAGGACGAGGGCAAGGGTGAGGACAAGGGCGAGGCGACGCCGAGGCAACGGCGGCACGAGACATGGCAGCCGCTGCTTCACCACCGCTGCTCTTGCGCAGCGACCTCCTGTGGCGGCAGCATGTGCGGGTAGGTCTGTTGCTGCTGCTGCTGCTCGTGCTGCCGGTGAGTTGCATACGCCGAGTGATGCTGCTGCTGGTGCGGCTGCTGTGCGGCAAGGTTGTACCCGTAGCCTCCGCCGCCGCCGCCGCCGTTGCGATCAGTCGCCGGCAAGGTCGCTGCCGTCGACGCCGGCGACATGCCAAACAGCGGCTGCGTCGAATTGTGCGGGCTCATGCCTCCGTTCCAGGCCATCGCGCCGTCTCCGGCGCTCATGCCACCGATGCTGCCGGTGCTGTGCTGGTGCTGGTGATGGACGTGGTGCTGCTGGTGATGCTGCTGCTGCTGCTGCTGCTGCTGCGGTGGTGCGCCGAACGGATGCGGATCGCCGCTGCCTCCGCCACTGCCGTGCGATGCGAGGTAGGCGAGCGGGTTGTAGGCGGCGTAGCTGGGGTCCAGCTGGCCGTAGACGTGATGCTGGTGCTGCTGCTGATGCTGCTGCTGCATCATTTGCAGCTGATCGCCCCGCATACTGGGGCTGATGAGAGCGTCGGCGGTCGAGGGCGTGTGCTCGAGCACCCCCGCCAGCTGGGGCCCGCCGCTCGAGCTCGACATCGACGTGCTGGTGTTGGACTCCATGGCGCTCGAGCCCGTCGACTT